CAGATTCCAATTTTATTCAATCCCATAAATCAAGCCAATCACCCCCTTAATGTTTTGGTCCGTTGGAGCCTATTTTTGCACTATAAAAAGGGGTGTTTGGGTCTTCTTTTCTCACCAATTCACTTCACAATTCTCCTACTTTCATTGCATTCAAAAAACATCTATTTCCATAGCTTTTTAGAGCCAATTCGTGTGAAGTTTGAGTTATTCTTGAGCGTACTTAGTTTACTCGTTATCTACTCTATAAGAGAGTCTCGTTCTTGAGTGTAATTGTGTTCTTAGACACGTTGAGAGAAAGTATTTCTCTCGTTTGATTCAAAGGAAGGGTTGTTTCCTTTGAAGGATTCGTTGAGGTTCGTGTGACTCAAACTCTCCAGTTGTAAGGGTTTGTTAAGCACCGTTAAGCTTAACGAGATAGTAGTGTAGCTCGAGAGAGTCTCTCGGGAGGCTGGATTAGCCACAAGTTGTGGTGAACCAGGGTAAAATTCGGTGTGCCTCTTACTCTTCTCTTTACTTCGCTTTTAAACTTTTAATTCCTGCGATTTCTACGATCAAACGCTATTCACCCCCCCCCTCTAGCGTTGGTCTATTTTTCTAACAATTAGTATCAGAGCCTAACTCGCGTCCAAACTTAACTGTTTGAGAGTAAAGCGATCATGGGTTCTTCTTCTAGAAATCTTTATGCAAGAATCGGAGAAGGTCAATCAACTTCCAGGCCACCGCTCTTTGATGGCACCAACTACACTTATTGGAAAGAGCGGATGAGAATTTATATCCGCTCTACCAACTTCCAGTTGTGGTTGGTCATCAAAAACGGCGAAGAAACGCCAATGAAGAAGGTCGATTAAAAACTCGTCCCAAAGACCGAGGACGAATTTGATGCCGAAGACATCAAAAAGGTGGAGAACTACGCCAAGGCAATCAACATGCTGTATTGTGCGGTCAATCCCGATGATTATCGCAAGATCTCTTGCTGCACCACCGCAAAAGAAATGTGGGACAAGCTGGAGGTCACATATGAAGGTACGGACCAGGTTCGAGAAGCCAAACTTGACTTCCTAACGCAGGAGTACGAAATGTTTAGGATGAAGGAAGGCGAAAAGATCGATGATATGTTCGATCGGTTCTCAAAGATCATCAACGACCTTCATGCACTCAAGAAGACTTACGCCAACAAGGATCTTGTGAGGAAAATCCTGCGGAGTCTCACACCCGAATGGAGATCAAAGGCTGATGCAATCTACGAATCCATCGGAGTCTCAAATGTCACCATCGACGGGTTAAGAGGTAATCTCAAAACTTATGAATCTACTATTCTAACCCCGTCTTTGGATGAACAAAAGAAGAAGGGAATAGCGCTGAAAGCAACCAAGGAGACCGTGGAAGAAGTTTCAAGCGATGACGACAACGAGTTCGGACTCGTCATCAAGAAATTCCACAAATTCATGAAGAAAGAATTTGAACGGAAAGGGAGAAAGCACGACGGTCCCCTGAAGTGCTATGGCTGTGGCGAGATAGGCCACATCAAGCCGAGGTGTCCAAAAGGCAAAATCAGCAAGGACAAACCCGGCTTCAAAAAGCAACGTGCCTATATCTCATGGGATGGCAACTCCGGCGATGAGTCAACTGATCAAGAAGAGGAAGAAGCCGCCAACCTCTGTCTCATGGCACACGAAGACCACGCCGACGANGAAATTCCACAAATTCATGAAGAAAGAATTTGAACGGAAAGGGAGAAAGCACGACGGTCCCCTGAAGTGCTATGGCTGTGGCGAGATAGGCCACATCAAGCCGAGGTGTCCAAAAGGCAAAATCAGCAAGGACAAACCCGGCTTCAAAAAGCAACGTGCCTATATCTCATGGGATGGCAACTCCGGCGATGAGTCAACTGATCAAGAAGAGGAAGAAGCCGCCAACCTCTATCTCATGGCACACGAAGACCACGCCGACGAAATACAAGAGTTATGTACCCCTTCTTCCGACTCTTACACTTTTGAAGAGATGCAAGAAGCTCTTCGAGAGCTTTATGATGAATTTGTTAGCGCTTCTAAAACCAACAAATCACTAAAGAAACGTCTTTAAACTCTTGAAAATGATTTTGAAAATCTGGAAAAAGACAATGAAAAGTGGAAACAAGAAAATAAGTTTTATGGTAAAAGAAGCGCTGAAAAGTCGGAAAGCTCTTCAAGTGAATGTGAATCTTGCAAAACTTTAAAAGAAAAGGTTGCAAAACTTGAGAGTATGGTCAAGAAGTTTAATACACAACACAAAGATCTGAATTTACTCCTAGACACTATGCATTTTTCTAAGGAAGGATTAGGTTTTGATAAAAATGAATCTAAGGATAAAAACATTGAGCAAACACCTAGACAACCTCCTAAGGCTCAACGTAAGAAAGTTAAAAATCAGGATAAATCTAGTCAACCTAAGCACACTAGACAACCTAGACAAAAACCTAGGAATGAAAATGTGCATATTAGACAACCTAGGAAAAACCATCAAAATGAATTTGTGCATAAAAATAATTTTTCAAATAGACAAAATAATGCTAGGACACCTAGAAGAGAGAACTTTCAAAAACCAATATTTTCTCAAAATAGGATGAATATGGTTAGGCCCCCTAGCAACTATTATCAACCTAAGAGGATGCACAACCCAAACGTAGTTTGTCACTATTGCAATAGGGTAGGACATATAGCTCCCGTTTGCTTTACTAGGCATAGGCATTGGGCACAAAATGAATCACACTACCACTTTGCACCTAACACTCAAGGACCCAAAAAGACTTGGGTACCTAAATCTTATTAAATTCTTTTTGTAGGTGTGCTTGAAGGCGTCAAGTGTACTTTGGTACCTTGATAGCGGATGCTCCAAGCACATGACCGGATATGCATCCAAGTTCCTACAAATCAAACCCGCTAAAGGAGGAAATGTAGTCTTTGAAGATAATAGCAAGGGAAAAATTATCGGCGTCGGTTCGGTAGGTAAGTCCGAAGACTCCTCTATAGATAATGTCTTGCTAGTCAAAGGTCTTAAACACAACCTCTTGAGCATAAGTCAATTATGTGACAAGGGAAACCGTGTGACCTTCAATTCAAAATCATGCACGGTAGAACGCCTTAGTGACAAAGGTCATTCTACGTGGTGATAGAATCGATAACATTTATATGGTTAACTTAGACAAATCTCCTTCCGGCTTTGCTAAATGCCTCATGAGTAAAGAGGAAGACACTTGGTTATGGCACCGAAGGGTAGCTCATATGAACATGAACCTTTTGAACAAATTGGTTTCACAAGACTTAGTAATTGGGATTCCAAAACTTAAGTTTGAAAAAGACACCATATGTGATGCATGTCAAAAGGGGAAGCAAGTTCGGGCTTCGTTTAGTCTAAGAACGTTGTTTCAACGTCTAGACCGCTTCAACTTTTGCACATGGATCTCTTTGGTCCTTCTAGAACGAAAAGCTTTGGTGGTAATTACTGTGCGTTTGTGATTGTCGATGACTACTCTAGGTTCACATGGACCTTGTTTCTAACTCACAAAAGTGAGGCATTTCATGTTTTCTAAAATTTTCTAAAGAAAGTTCAAAATGAAAAAGACACAACCATAGTAGCCATAAGAAGCGACCATGGGGGAGAGTTCGAGCGAAATCTGTTTTCAGATTTGTGTGACGAACTTGGCATTGATCATAACTTCTCACCCCCACGTACACCACAACAAAATGGAGTGGTGGAACATAAAAATAGATGTCTCAAAGAGATGGCTAGAACTATGATCAATGAGGCGAAAATCCCTAAGTATTTTTGGGCGGATGACGTGAGTACCGCGAGCTACGTGTTAAACCGAGCCGTCATTCGACCGATACAAATGAAAACGCCCTATGAACTATACAAAGGGAGAAAGCCAAACCTTTCCCATCTTCGAGTCTTTGGTTGCAAATGTTTTATTCATAACAATGGCAAAGACAATTTAGGCAAATTTGATGCCAAGTCGGATGAAGGAATTTTTCTGGGTTACTCATTACGTAGCAAGGCCTATAGAGTCTTCAATAAACATACCTTGACTATTGAAGAGTCACCTCACGTTGTATTTTCCAAAGATAATCCTCGCTTGGCGAGAAAGGATATTTGTGATGATCTTGCAGATTCATTAGATAGAATACACGTCGAAGACGATGAGGAGAACACGGGAATATACACCGACACGCAGCCGCAAAGTGGGGAGATCCCTCAAGCGACTAACCAAGGTGAAGAAGAAAATCAAGAGGAAGGAGAAGAACAAGAGGAACACGAAGAAGAAGCAACCGAGCTTCCCATTGCATGGAAAGCGAACAAGAAACACCCACTTGACCAGGTAATTGGTAGCATCAACCGCGGGGTAAGTACTCGTAACTCACTTAGGGACACCGTAGGACACATGGCTTTTGTTTCTCAAATTGAACCTACAACCATTTCCGAAGCAATAAACGATGAACATTGGACCTTGGCTATGCAAGAGGAGCTAAACCAATTCAAACGGAATGACGTTTGGGAATTGGTGCCAAGACCCGATGATCGTACGATTATTGGTACGAAATGGGTGTTTCGTAACAAACTTGATGAAAATGGAATAATCACTAGAAACAAAGCTAGGCTCGTAGCTAAAGGCTACAATCAAGAAGAAGGCATTGATTTTGAAGAAACATATGCACCCGTAGCACGTTTAGAAGCTATTCGTTTACTTCTTGCTTTTGCTTCGTCTATGGATTTTAAACTTTATCAAATGGATGTTAAGAGTGCCTTCCTCAATGGTTTTATTCAAGAGGAAGTGTATGTTGACCAGCCCCCGGGGTTTGAAGACTTTGAGTTTCCCGATCATGTCTTCAAACTCAAGAATGCGCTCTACGGTCTTAAACAAGCACCTCGTGCTTGGTACGAACGTTTGAGTAAATTTCTTTTGAATAGTGGTTTCCAAAGGGGAAAGGTTGACACTACACTTTTTATCAAGAGTAAAAACAATAACATCCTTTTGGTTCAAGTTTATGTAGACGATATTATATTCAGTGCTACTAACGAGTCTTTGTGCAAGGAATTCTCAACGCTAATGACAAGCGAATTTGAAATGTCAATGATGGGTGAGCTCACGTTCTTTTTGGGACTCCAAGTCAAGCAAATGAAATATGGCATGTTCATTTGCCAAACCAAATATTGCAAGGAGCTCCTAAAACGGTTCGAAATGGATAACGCCAAAGCCATGGCGACTCCAATGAGCACATCCGACCATCTAGACAAAGATGAAAAAGGTAAGGAAGTAGAAGTCAAAAAATATCGAGGTATGATCAGATCCCTTCTCTACCTTACAGCTAGCAGGCCGGATATCATGTTTAGCGTATGCCTTTGCGCAAGGTATCAATCATGTCCGAAGGAATCGCACTTAATGGCGGTGAAACGGATCATGAAATACCTTACTGGCACGGTTAACGTTGGACTGTGGTATCCAAAAGGCTCTTCGTGTCATCTCGTTGGTTATTCCGACTTGGACTTTGCCGGTTGCAAATTGGACCGTAAAAGCACGAGTGGGACTTGGCACTTACTTGGTAGCTCTTTAGTTTCATGGTTTAGTAAAAAAACAAGTCAGTGTTGCGTTATCCACAACCGAAGCGGAATACGTTGCCGCCGGCAGTTGTTGTGCTCAAATCCTTTGGATGAAGCAACAACTCGTGGACTATGGCCTTAGTATCAGTCACGTTCCACTTCGTTGTGACAATACTAGCGCCATAAGCTTGACGAAGAACCCCGTTCTTCATTCAAGGACGAAACACATTGACATTAGGCACCATTTCATTAGAGATCATGTTCTCAAAGGTGATGTCGAAATTGAGTTTGTTGAAACACACAACCAATTAGCCGATATTTTCACAAAACCTTTAGAGAAAGAGTCGTTCTTCCGCATTCGTAGTGAACTCAGAATCCTTGACTCCACAATGATCTAATTTGTGCATTTTATCACTCTTTTTTATTTTTAATTGAACGTTTACTAACTTGAGCGTCAGAGGATTTTCTAACTCTTTTTTGCAGGGACGGTTCAAGGTGAAGGAATCCGGAAGTCAGGGGGAACCAGCGATGGGTGGGTTATACCATCGCTGGGAGGGAAGTCTTCTCTTTTCTAGAACCCCTCTTCCCATCGATGGGTACTTTCTCACATCGATGGGTAATTGACTCTTTTTTTTAATTTTTTAACGGATTTCTAGAAACACCTTACCCATCGATGGGTATTTCATCCCATCGCTGGGTGAAGGACTTTTTTGTCAAATTTTTTTTTCCAAAACCTCCCTACCCATCGATGGGCAAATCCTCCCATCGCTGGGTGTTTGACACTATTTTTTTAAAATTTTTATCGGATTCTCAAAACAACCAACCCAGCGATGGGATGGTATTTACATCGCTGGGAAGGCTTTTGTCATTTAATCTTCACTTTCCAGAATCCACCTTCCCATCGATGGGAGAATCCACACATCGCTGGGAATGCAGTTTTAAAATTCTCCTTCGCTTTCCAGTGGCGTCCTTCCCATCGATGGGAACTCCTACCCATAGCTGGGAAGCCTGCTGCGATTCAAATTTTCAACCGTTGGGCACTGGATTTAATGCCCAACAGTCATTTTTTTGAAATCCATCCGTTTTATCCTCCTTCCCTATATATATACACCATATTTGGTCATTCGTAATCACAATTAACATCCATATTTCATTCCTCTAGCCTATCTTTGCATAGTTCATCACTTTTTCTTCATAATCTAGTCAATCATGGCCGGAGGAAAGAAGACAAAAGCTTCGAAGAAGAAGGTCACCGCCGAGGCTACGAGCTCTGCGCCTCAACCCTTCCCGTACCTGGACGGATCCTTCTTGGAGTTCGGGTCGGAAGAGGAACTTACTCGCTTCATCACCCACTTCGCCAAACGTCCTATCTCTCCGCCAAGAGTGCTGCCCGAGTTGTTCCCTCAACAGAAGGGATACCACAACCACGACAACCAACTCAAAGAGTAGGGTTTGTGGCCCTTCGTCTCCAAGAGCCGCACCTCCTTCAATCCCGCCTATGTCCGGGCTTTCTACTCCAATCTCCACCGGGACGGGGACAACATTCGCAGTACCATGAATCTCTACGACATAGAGATTGATTTGGCTACCTTTGCTCGGGTTGCAGAGCTGCCTACCCGCGGTGACGACATAGCGTCGTATGGTGGCGACGACTGGATCCTCAACAACGAGGCTGTCGTCATCCGTGAGCTCGGGATCACCAACTTGATCCGTCACAGCGGCGCACCTACGATTCACTCGGCTCCACCGGAGAAGCGCCTCCTCCTCTACATCCTCACCCGGATTCTCCGCCCCGAAGATAGCAGCCACACCTCGCTCTTCAACGACGACTTGAGGGCAATTCATGCGATCATGCACGGCGCCTCCATCAATTGGGCAAAATACGTCATGATTCACATGGCGGATTGCTCCTCCATCACCACCGAGCGGAGCTTGCCATACGCCTTCCTCGTCATGGACCTCATCGTCTCCGCCAACATCCACATCGCCGGGTCAAGCACGAAGATGACGAAGCTTTGGGTCATCGCCGACAACACCTTCAGGAAGAAGTCCGGAAACCGTAACAGCGCCGGAACAAGTCGTGCCCGTGCCCCTGCACCTGCCCCCGCTCCCGCTCCCGCTTGGGCCTCATTGCAGGCAATAGCCGACACCCTAAATCGGCTAACCCTCACAGTGGACGGCATGGGGCAGTACATGGAGAGGATGGACTGGACGCTGCAACGCCAACACCACGACATGAGGGCGTTCTTCCGCGGCATCAACTACGTCCCGCCGCCCATTGACAGCACCTTCCTTGGCCAAAACTATGAAGGCGAGGATGAGGAGGATGACTCCTATGCTCCGTCCTCCTCCCCTGATGAGGCCGACTTTGAGGACGCGGTCGACAGGGATCCCATGGACGTCGAGGATGATGAGGATGACGATGACGCCGAGGACGAGGACGCTGATGCCTAGACTCTTCCTTTCTTTCCTTTCCCTACTTTGATTGCTTTTTTATTTCCATTCCGTTGTATTCCGCATTTTCCTTGCCTTTAATGAATAAAAGTTTACTTTTAATTCTAAAGTTTACTTTAATTCTTTTTGTTAATGTCAAAAGGGGGAAGATATCATGGTTATGCATAAATTGAGGGGGAATTTTTTTTAAAAATAAAATGGCATCTATTAAGGGGGAACATATTTTTCTCAAAACAATCCTCACATACATAACCTCATGTCGTTTTCCATTATCAAAAAGGGGGAAATTGTTGAAACATGGGCTAGTCACGTTTTTCGTACTAAAGCTGTGTTTGTTTTTATGACAGGTTTTGATAATGCCAAACCGCCGTGATCAAGTCAAACATTGAATATACAAGGCGAAGAACGAAGATAAGAACAAGAGCTAAACGAAGACCAAGAACGAAGACCTTAGTCTTAGCATCTTTGAGTCGGTCTTTATTGTGTTCAAGACCGACACAATCTTTACACCTTGGCTCTTTAGGCTAAAATATTTTATTGCATTTATCACATCATAAAAATGTTTTTCAAACATGTGTAAATCATTAAAAACAATTGGTGTTCGCCCAAACCAAAAACCAAGCCATCCAGCGTTTGGCTTTTAGAAACCGGCGTTCGGCTTTCGGTTATCGGCATTGGTTTTTGGCGTCCGAACCAACCAAGTGGTTTTCAACTTTTTATGATTGGTTTTCACTCTTTGGAATGTTTAAACGGTTCTCCAACAAAAACACTTTGAAAACCATCTTTCGCTTTTGGTCGTTTGACAAAAACCACGCAAAACAGCGTAAACTTGGCTAGCCGTGATTTTTACTCAAATGACGTGGTTTTTAAAGTGTCTCACTTAATTTCTTAGGAAAACACATCAAATAAGGGTTTTAAACACTTGGTTTTTATTTTGGAGAACTTTGGATTTTTCGGTCGGTTTTTGCATCGATTGGCTAGGCCGTGGTTAAGGCAAAGACCATGGGTTTTTTGCTAACCACCCACCCAGCGATGGGAAGATCTTCCCATCGATGGGTAAGCGGTCCCTCAGCCAAACCAACTTCCAGAACCATGCCAAACAGCGATGGGAAGTTCTATTCATCGCTGTTAAAGCCTTGGTGCAACATCAACACAAGGAAGAACGACCTTACCTAGCGATGGGAAACTTATCCCATCGATGGGAACCCAGCGATGGTAAGGCTAAACCATCAATGGGAAGGCATGATCGTTGGAAGTCATTTAAGGTTGAATCTTTCCTTGTTTGGAAATCAACCTCCCACCCAGTGATGGGAAGCTTGTACCCATCGATGGGTAGGTGACCGTTGGCTTCAAAACTGAAGGAAAATTGGCTTACCAGCGATGGGTAAGTTTCAAACATCGATGGGAAGCCAATATCCTACAGATTCCAATTTTATTCAATCCCATAAATCAAGCCAATCACCCCTTTAATGTTTTGGTCCGTTGGAGCCTATTTTGGCACTATAAAAAGGGGTGTTTGGGTGTGCTTTTCTCACCAATTCACTTCACAATTCTCCTACTTTCATTACATTCAAAAAACATCTATTTCCATAGCTTTTTAGAGCCAATTCGTGTGAAGTTTGAGTTATTCTTGAGCGTACTTAGTTTACTCATTATCTACTAAGAGAGTCTCGTTCTTGAGTGTAATTGTGTTCTTAGACACGTTGAGAGAAAGTATTTCTCTCGTTTGATTCAAAGGAAGGGCTGTTTCCTTTGAAGGATTCGTTGAGGTTCGTGTGACTCGAACTCTCAAGTTGTAAGGGTTTGTTAAGCACCATTAAGCTTAACGAGATAGTAGTGTAGCTCGAGAGAGTCTCTCAGGAGGGTGGATTAGCCACAAGTTGTGGTGAACCAGGGTAAAATTCGGTGTGCCTCTTACTCTTCTCTTTACTTCGCTTTTAAATTTTTAATTCTTGCGATTTCTACGATCAAACGCTATTCACCCCCCTCTAGCGTTGGTCTATTTTTCTAACACAATGTTTTCAAATGACGTTGGGCTATTTAAGACAAAATCTTTCCATTTTTGAAAGTCAGACACCCCAACATCGATGTAGACCTCTAGACATCGATGTTTTGGTGACCGTTAGCCATTTTTAAAGGAAAGTCAAAGCCAAAACAGCGATGTTCACTACATGAATAGCGCTGTTAGGCTAGCAGATCCACTTTTATTTGATTTCCACAAATCAAGCCAATCAACCCCAATCTTTTCTCAACCGTTGCACCTTGTTTTTGGGTATAAAAAGGGGTCTCTTGGGTCTACTTTTCACAACCATTCCTCACACATTTCATAGCTTTACATTGCATCATTCCATAAACTTTTTACATAGCTTTTTAGAGCCATTTTTTGAGGAATTGAGTGTGTTCTTGATCTAAATTAGTTTACTCATTATCTACTCTTTAAGAGAGTTTTTGTACTTGAGTGTTTTAGTGTTGTGAACACTTTAAGGGAGGTTTGTTCCCTTGTTCGTACGAAGGAAGGGCATATTCCTTCGGGTTGAAGTCTTGGAGTGTGGTATCTCCGAGCAAGTGTATTGAGGCTCGTGGGACTCGAGTTCTCAGGTTGTAACGGTTTGTTAAGCACCTGTAAGCTTAACGGAAGTAGTGTAGCTCGAGAGAGTCTCTCGGGAGACTGGACTAGCCACACGTTGTGGTGAACCAGTATAAATCTTTGTGTGCTCTCTTTATGCTTTTTTACGCTCTTTACTTTTTATGTTCTTTACTTTATCCCTGCAATTCTTATTCCGCAAAAATTTATAAACATTCTCGTGCCTCACTATTCACCCCCCCCCTCTAGTAAAGGGCACTTATTCTAACACATTCAAGGCCAGCATACGTAAATATTGGTGTGAGGAGGGAGTATTAGTCAATAAGGTTTCTTGAATTTCCAGCGTGTCTAGTACTTGGACAAATCGTAAACCTATTCCTGCAGCAAGTACTGATCTGTTGGTTACATGTGATAGTCGGTTTGTAGTCCATGAGAAGGGTGAATAAGATCACTTAAAAACATTCCGTAGAAAGTTAATAGTAAAAATTGGAACTGCGGAAAGAGATCATTAAGGAATGATAAATAATATGACATAAATGTTTTATATTGGTTTTGATATCGTATTCTAGTACCTTTATAGATAAGTGAACCCCCCATCTCATCTTAATTGCTTCTTTCCAAAAAGCCACATCCCTTGAAGCCATAACTTCATCATACAATATCCTAAGTCTTCCTCAAAATTGTAAAAATATTCATATTCAAATAAAATTTCTTCCTTAAAACCTTCAACTAAATATAGTTGATAAACTTAGCCAAAAGATTTCATAACTCTACCTCTTTTTCCTTTCGTAAGTTCCGTAGGAATAGATGACTCATTAGTAGGAACCAAGTCGCTACAAAATGTAACACCCCAACCCACGTAACCCAAACTAACGAGTTAGCAAACCGGGTAACTACTAGATTGGCATCATCACAACTTAATTTTCAAACAAATTTAAAACATTCAATTCAAAAGCTGTTTTGAATATCCATTGGAGTAAACAAAAATGGTGCGGAAGCTTTAAGTACTTAAACCAAAATACAATTAGAGTTTCTTTCCCTTTAAAAATAATAAATTCAAATATAATATTTAAGTTATTAAATAACTTCTGAGATAACATCCATCCAGCTCTCCGCCCTCAATGCCCTCCAAGATAGTTTCGTTGTTCATTGTTCCTATTACCTGCGTGTAGCAAATAGGAAAAAGGGATACACGCTCAGCAATGAAGCTAAGTGAGACGTATTTAACATTTTGACTATGCATATAGACGAACTCTCTAGCTCATAAGTTCATACAATATCATGCACACAAATACAACATCATTAATATCAAAGAGTTCATAAATCAAACTTACACATGATCCATATGCAAAACTGAAATTCAAACTTCCTTATTCTAAAGATCAAAGCTGATATGCAAAACACATGATCTTGTTCTTGACTTAGGCCACTTCTTTATTCTAGAGTCCTGATTCAAACACATCCATGGAAGAACCCCGCTCGATACAACATCATCCAAGGTCAACTGGGTGGGACCATCTACTCACATCCATTAATATATCTACAGCCCTTGCACACGCTTTACGCAACTGACCATGCATGCACACCGGCTCATCACTTGACCAACTATTCCTAACTGTATTCTTATTCTACTTCTCGTCTACATATAGTTCATCTTGGTAGCCTATACGTATCCAGATTTCATAATTTCATATTTCCAAATTCGTACAAGATCACATAAAATTAGATAAGCATTCATACTTAACAATTAGCGACCTAGTGTCCGGTGTAAACACCTTTCACTTATCGTCATGTAGCACACAAGAACATGGAATAAATACATGATTTAAATCAGAACAAACAAACGAATGAAGGTCTTGTTGGGGTCCGGTACGGTACTTGTCACGGTACCTCGGTACTGCCTGGGGAAACCTTGGTACCGTCAGTTCGGTACCCCCTACCGTCCGAGCGTAGGTACCGGCAAAGCCAACAGGCTCGCGAAGGATTTTGGTGGTAGCAAGTTACCGCTTGTTAATCGGTTTAGTCGTTGTGCCCACGCCTTAGAGGGGGGTGAATAAGGCGTTTGAAAATCTTTTCGGAGTTTGATAAAAACGATGTTGGCAAATACGGAAGCAATATATAAAATGCAGAAATAAAAGCGTAAATAAAATGCACACCGATTTTATACTGGTTTGGGAACTCCCTACTCCAGTACCTCGAGGCTCCTCCTCAAGGATTTCCGAATCCACTAAGTTCCGGCCTCTTGAACTCCGTCAAAGCACCGCACTAGTTTGGCAAACAACCCTTGCCAATAGGATTCACTCCGAGATTTCACCACGGCTATCTCGAACCAGTTACAATGAAGATTTAACGGCTATCTTCTACCGCTCCCCCAAGGATTTCAAAGGCTATCCTTGAACCTTTACCCAAGGATTTATATGGTTATCCTTAACCATTACAA